TGAGGCCTAGGAGCTGGACAGTCTGCCGCAAACCACTGAATGCTCCCGAGCGCTGGGCCGGGAATGTCGGGCGGAGGAGGGGGAAGGTGGGAGACCCAGGAGAGATGGGTCAGGCGGTGGGCACCGGCCACGATTGAGGGACGAGAATCATTGTCACCTCAACCTCAGAAAGGGCCGCACATGATGCCGCTTTACAGATGGGAACTGAGTGCACTGAGTGGCGAGGCACTTTCTATGGCCACAAGGTTTGGGAGAGGCAGCGCTGGGGTTTGAACCCAGGCTTCCTGGCCACAGACTAGGGCTTCTGCTCACTAACTCACAGCAGAGAGGCTACTGGGAAACTTTGGGTGGAATAATGAATTAATGAATGAATAAGTTTGAAGAGCTGAATGAAGGCTCATTCACTTGCCCACAGGCCTCCCACCCCAGCCACAGACCAAGCAGAACATGTTGAAGCTCGAGCCAGCCCCTATCCTCCAGTTCCCACCACTCCCGCTTACCATCTGGAAGTCCTTCCTGTATCTGACCTAGGTCTTTCTCACTTTTTCTTTCCAGGGCAGATAAATGGCAAGGCGTTCACACCTCCTGCAAGCCACTGAGTCTGTCCCTCCAGGAGAAAGGCAGAGCCCAGCCACTGCTCACCCCATTACTGGAGAAGGAGGTTGAGGCTCAGAGAGGGGCAATACTTTTCCCAAGGTCACACAGCAAATTCTTGTGACGCCAGAGCCTCTGAACAACTCTGAACTGATGTCCAGTTAGAGTCACAGCCGGCTGAGCCTCCCATGTTGTATCTCCTTCAATCCTCCCAACAAGTTGTTGGGGAAGGAACCATTATTATCACCTTTGATAGATGGGGAAACTGAGGCTTGGCAGAGGGCAGCCGCTGCAGGAGGTGGCCGAAGCGACTACAGGGTAACGCCACTCTGATTGGCTGAGCAGAGGGACCAGCTTGTTACTCTGCCACCTGTGATGGGGGGTGAGATGAAGCCATGCTGCTGGGGGTCACATCACCCAGGTGTCGTGTGTCCAATTCTAGCCACGCTAAGTCCTCATAGCAGCCTGGCCACGTGGTTTTGCCTAATTCTCGCAGACCTGGTGGCTTTGCAAGGTTCCGTGAACTCCCAGCAGGGTGGAGACACCTTGTCCTTTGATAGAAACCACGGGCAGGGAGAAGCCACTGGCTAGGGGCTCCCTGGAGATGGTGGCATTTGAGCCAGGCCCAGAGGGATGCTAAGCCTTTCAACACAAGAAGGTGGCAGGGAGGGCATTCCTGGCAGAGGGAACTGCCTGTGACAAAGGTGTGTGGTGGTGTGAATGTGCCCGGTGTGAAGGAAGTAAAACGGGGCTGTGGGGCCAAGAGACACGCAAAGCCAGGCTGTGACGGGTGGGCCTCAATCCAGCTGTGGAGGTCGAGATTTTCTCCAGGCATAGAGCTGGCTGGAGGTGTTTGAGTGAGCAGGACCAGGGGGACAGATGAGGATCATGGGAGACTGAGCAGATGTGGAGATGGACACCTAGTGGGGAGCCAGGAGGAGGGAGAAGATGGGGCTGATGGCAGCGATCCCTACCTCAGGATGGGAAGTGATGGTAGAATTGTCCTTGAGATGGGACATGGGGCTGGAGGAGGGGGCTGAAGAAGATGCTGAGTCTGGAGACCTTGGAGGAATGTCCTGAAGAAGCTGAATAAGGGAGCGAGATCGCTGGAGTCTAAGACAATGACTAGAACATCTGTGATCAGTGATCACTGAATTGATGGAGGGAGGAAGGGAAGAGTAGATAGGTGGTGTGGGTTGATGGGTACAGATGAATGAGTGGATGGGCTAGTGAGGGGGATGGATGGGTGGGTGTGGGTGGGTGCGTGGGTGGGGTGGGTGATGGATGGATGGATGATGGATGAATGGTGGGAAGGTGGGATAGATGGATGATGATGGATGGATCAAGTCAGATAGAGGGATGGATGGATGGGTGAATGGGAGGGAGGTTGATGGATGGATGGAAGGGTGAGGGATGGATGGATGGATAAACACAGGGAGGAGTGGAGAGATGAATCAATGGCTGGCTGGCTGGCTGGATGGATGAATGGGCAAACAGATGGGTAGGTGGATGGTTGCATGGATGAATGGATGGACGACTGCATGGTGCATGGATGGATGGATGGATAGATGATAAATGGATGAATGGAAGGATGGATGAGTGTATGGTTGAGTGAGTGAATGGATGAGTGGAGAGACAATGATAGCTGATGGATGGATGCATGCATGGATGGATGGATGGATGGATGGATGGATGGATGGATGGATAGAGGGATGGATGGGTGGATGGGGTTTAATAGATGGGAAGGTGGATGGATAGATGGATAAAGGAATGAAGTGAGTAGATGATGGATCGATGGATGGAGGGATGGGTGAATGGATGGAAAGGTGGATGATAAATGGATAAAGGGATGAAGGAGTGGTAGATGAAGGAGTGGTGAGATGGATGGATGGATGGATAGATAGAGGGATGGATGGGTGGACGGGTGAATGGATGGGAAGGTGGATGATAAATGGATAAAGGGATGAAGGGAGTGGTAGATGGATGTATGGATGGATATTAGAGGATGGATGGATGGAGGGATGGATAGATAGAGGGATGAGATGGGGTGGACAGAATGGATAGGAAGGTGGATGGATAGATGGATAAAGGGATGAAGGAGTGGTGGATGGATGGATGAATGGATGATGATAGATAGATGATGGGTGATTTGGTAATGATGGGAAGGTGGATGATGATGGATAAAGGGATGAAGGGAGTGGGTGGATAATAATGAATGGTTATTGATGTCAGTGGATCAATGGGTAGTGGTTTGTAACACAGAAGTGGCTGCCCTGGAGGTGAAGGTAAAGGTACAGCCCTGGGAAGCCCTGTCGGGGCCAGGAAGAGGAGATCTGGGGGAGGGGCAGAACTGAACCGATTTGCCCCCATAACTGCCTTCTCTGTAAGGTCTTCCACCCAAGTCCTTTACTCTGCCCCTTCTTCCCCATAAATGGCTTAGACTTGAAATCCCCACTCTTCCTGCACTCACTCACACATACACACACACACACACACATACACACACACACACACACTGGGTCAGCCTGGGTCTACCGACAAATCAGTGGAAAATTAAAATAGTGCCTGTGCACTGGTGATGGGCGGCTTCAGCTGGTGCCAATGACTTTCAAGATTGTTACCAGCTGGAGAGGGGGTGAGGGTTCCCACCAGCCACCCAATCTGAGCAGGAGAGGTGGTCTCGGGAGAGGGTGCAGCCCACGAAGCCAGAGGGCAAAGATGGATAAGTGGGTTGGGAAGGTTAGAGACAGATGACCTTGAGTTTGGGGATGAACCACCTGACCCCCTGCACCCTCAAAAGGTTCCTGCTGGGACGTTCTTCTCCTCAGTTTGGCTAGATGGCTCCAGCTCATCTTGTAGGGCTCAGGTCCAAAGGTCACCACCTCCAGGAAGCTCTCCTGGAGTCACAGGTCAAATCCTCAGAGGTATCTGACCACCCTTATCTATAATCCTATTTGCCTGGAGGCCTTGAGAGCAAACCTCACTTTGCCACAGTGTCCTTGGGGAAGTCACTTTCCTCTCTGTGCCTTATTTTCTCATTTGTAAAACAAGGCTGTTAAGAGAATTTTTTTCTTTTTAGAGATAGGATGTGACTCTGTCATCCAGGCTGCAGTGCAGTGGTGTGATCACAGTTCACTGCAGCCTCAAATTCCCTGGGCTGGGTTCAAGCAATCTTCCCACCTCGGCCTCCCAAGTAGCTGAGACTACAAGTGCATGCCACCATGCTTGGCTAATTTTTTAGCAGGATGGGGGGATAGTCTCACTATGTTGCCTGTGCTGGTCTTGAACTCCTGGCCCCAGGTGATCCTCCCCGCTCGGCCTCCCAAAGGGCTGGGATTACAGGCATGAGCCACCTCGCTGGGCCCCTGTTGGGAGGATTAAATGAACAATTGTGGGTAAACTGGTATTTTATTATAAGCCTTTATTATGGAGCTGGGCACAGGGCTGAATCTGGTCCTCAAATTCTCAAAATAAGCCAATCAATATCAGCAAGATGTTCATCCTGCATTTCTAGGAGGGGGTCACTGAGGCCCCTGGGAACGAGGTAAATTCACTTAATACCGTCATTGTGTGCCTGGACCAGTCCAGTACCCTCTGCTGTCACCCCCACAGTCTGTCCTCCCCACAGCAGCCACCAGAGGATGCCTGTGAGCACCAGGATCAGGTCCTGTCCCTCCTCTACCTACAACCTCCATGGTTCCCACCTCCCTCAGGCTCAAAGCTTGTCCTTCCGCGGGTCCATATGACCTGCCCCATCCTGTCCCTGCCCTCCTTCTTCCTCTCTCCCCCGCTACTTCTGTCTGCTCCAGCCACACGGGCCTCCTTGCTGTTACTACAACATGCCAGGCATGGTCCTGCCCCAGGGCCTTTGCACAGACTGTGTCTTCTGCCCAAGATGCCTTCCACTTCCTTGAAATTGGCCAGCCTCCTCCATCTGGCCTCAACTCAAAATGGCATCCAGGACACTCTTCTAACTTAAAGGTCTTGCTGTAGTGTCTGCCTCCCGGCCCCATTCTTGTGAACATAACAGACATGACACACACAGCAGGTTGCAATAATTTGTCATGTGACTTTGCAGCAGCATTCCTGTTCCCTGGCCTCAACTGCAGGGAGGAGATGCCCTGTCCTAGCCTTCTGGGCCTCCAGCACCCCACATCAGAGGGCATGGCCTATAAAGTTCAAGGGCCGGGTGTAATAGTTCACGCCTGTAATCCCAGCATCTTTGGGAGGCCGAGGCAGGCGGATCATCGAGGTCAGAGTCAGAGACCCAGCCTGATTAACATGTAGAAACCCCATCTCATTAAATACAGTGAATTAGCTGGTGGTGGTGTGGCAAGCTACTGTAATCCCGTTTACTCCTGCCAGCAGGAGAATTGCTTGAATCTGTGAGGAAGGTTGCAGTGAGCCAAGATCATGCCATTGGCACTCAGCCTGGATGACAACAGCGAGACTCCATCTAAAAATCTCTATCAGTGTGGATTGTACAGATTAATGTTATATACTTGGTTTCTTTTTTTTTTTTTTTTTTTTTTCCCCGTGACGGAGTCTCACTCTGTCGCCTGAAGGAGTGCAGTGGCCGGATCTCAGCTCACTGCAGCCTCGCCTCCCGGCTTACGCCATTCTTCTGCCTCAGCCTCCCGAGTAGCTGGGACTACAGGCGCCTGCCACCTCGCCCACACTTTTACAGTTTTTAGTAGAGATGTTTCCTCACTAAATAGCTTGTGATGGTCTCACCCTGATCTCGTGATCCACCTGTCTCAGCTCCCCAAAGTGGGATTACAAGCTTGAGCCACTCATGCCCGGCCTATACTTTAGTTTCTAATTCACCCTGTGTATACATGCACACATTTATATATATATATATATATATATATATATATATATATATATCTCCTCAACAACAGCAAACATTAGGAGAAGATTGTGATGTACTTGCAAACGAATTTTACTGGGCAACAAATATGAAAGAGTTCCTACAAATCAATAAGAGATTTGAACTGAAAAAAATATGCAAAGATATGAACACATAAACCACAGAAAATACTTAATAGAAATAAAATGGATTTAAATCTGTGAGAAAATGGCCAGGCACAGCCTCGCATCTGTATCCCAGCACTTTGGGAGGCTGCTAGAGACTGCTTGAGCTTCAGGAGTTTGAGACCAGCCTGAGCACATGGTGAAACCGTCTCCACAAAAATACAGGGATTAGCCAGGTGAGAGGAGCCTTGCTGTAGTCCCAGCTGCTCGGGTAGGCTGACGAGGAGAATCACTTCTAAACTCGGGAGGCGGAGGTTACAGTGAGTTGAGATCAGCCATGCCAGTACCTGCAGCCTGGGCAATAGAGACTCCTGTCTCAAAATAATAAAAATAGATGAGTAAATTAATTAAAATATATGAGAAAATGTCTACCCTGATTCACAGGAAGGTAAATCGTTAAACTACAATAAGGCGGTGGTGGTTCACCTATAATCCCAGCACTTCAAGAGACTGCACACATAGGAAAACTGCTCGAGGCAAGGAGCTGAATACCAGCCAGGGCAACATAGTGAGATCGTGGCTCTATAAATATGGGTGTGGTGGTTCACACCTGGGTCCCAGCACTTTGGGAGGCCGAGGCGGGTGGATTCTCCGAGGTCAAACTGAGATCAGCCTGATTAACATGGGGTGAAACCTCACCTCGGCAAATACAAAAATTATCCAGGTGTGGTGGCAGACACCTGTAATCCCAGCTACTCGTGAGGCTGAGGCAGGAGAATCGCTTGAACCTGGGAGGGAGGTTGCAGTGAGCTGAGATTGCACCACTGCATCTCCATCCAGCCTGGGCAGAGGAGATCATCAAAAAAAGAAAAAAGAATATTCAGTGCCACTCTAGTTTAGTGGCAAAAGACTTGGAAATAAATAGAATAAGAATGAGAGGCACTTTTCTTTTTTTTTTTTCTTTTTCTTTTCTTTTTTTTTTTTTTGAGACAGAGTCTCGCCTGTCAGCCTAAGGGCTGGAGTGCAGCAGCCATCACCACTGCAAGCTCTGCCTCCCGGGTTCACACCATTCTCCTGCCTCAGCCTCCCGTGTAGCTGGGACTACAGGCGTCCACCACTCGCTCGGCTAATTTTTTTTTATTTTTAGTAGAGATGGGGTTCACCGTGTTAGCCAGGATGGTCTCGATCTCCTGATCTCGTGATCCGCCTGTCTCGGCCTCCCAAAGTGCTGAGATTATAGACGAGCCACCGCGCTTCCATCTTTGCGATATGATCTGCAATAAACGCTGCAGCATTTAAACGCGCTTGAGTATTGGGCCATTCTGATGGGTAACCCTCTGAAATTTAAGTAATGAACGGCCGCGATGCCTGTGGTTGTCACTTCAGAGGGAAGCACATGACCATGAAAACTTTTCCATGACTGTCTCAAATTATTGGAAGAGTTTTATCCTAGAGTTTCATTCTTCGGTTTTCTTTTTCTCTTTGATTTACCCCATGCATTTCTATCCGTTTTCTTTTTTTTTTTTTTTTTTTTTTGCCACGGAGCTCCCACTCTGTCTCCCAGGCTGGAGTGCAGTGGCGTGATCTTGGCTCATTGCAACCCCCACCTCCTCAGTTCAAGCAATTCTCCTACCTCAGCCTCCCAAGTAGCTGGGATTACAGGTGCACACTACCACGCCTAGCTTATATATATAGAGATTTTTTTTTTTTTTGAGATGGAATGCCGCTCTGTCACCCAGGCTGGAGGTGGGGCACCTGCCTACTGCAAGCTCCGCCTCCCAGGTTCATGCTTATTCTGCCTCAGCTTCCTAAGTAGCTGACTACAAATGCCACCAGCCTCGGCTAATTTTTTTTTGTATTTTTAGTAGAGACGGGTTTCACCGCCGGTGTTAGCCAGGATGGTCTCGATCTCCTGACCTTAGATCTGCTCCGCCTTGGCCCCAAAGCACTGGGATGAGAGGGCAGAGCAAACACAGCCTGTCACGCCTGACTGATTTTTGTATTTTCACTAGAGGCAGGATTTGGTCAGACGTTGTGCAGGCTAACACAAACTCCTGACCTCAGGTGATCCGCCAGCCTCGGGCTCCCAAAGTGCTGGAGATTTGCGGCATCAGCCACCGCACAGCATATGCATTATATATTTAGTTTAGATGGGGCATTGCTTTGTAGCCCAGACTGGAGTGCAGTGGCGGATCATGGCTCACTGAAGCCTGACTCTAAGCCTGAGTCCGCCCCAGCCTCCAGAGTGGCTGTGACTACAGGCTTGTGCCACCTCGCCCGGTTAATTTTTGTTTTGGGTTTTTGTTTATGTTTTCTTTAGATACAAGGTTTTGCCATGTTGCCCAGGCTGGTCTCAAACTCCTGACTCATGATCCTGGCTTCAGCCTCCTGCAAAGTGCTGGTGACAGGTGCGAGCCACCGTGCCCAGCCCCATATTAATTGTTTTGTTTTGTTTTTAAGATGAGTCTACCACGCCAGGCTGGAGTACAGTGGCATAACTGCTTGCTGAAACCTCCATCTCCCAGGTTCAAGGTACTCTTCTGCCTCAGCCTCCCAAGTAGTTGGGACTACATGTGTGCACCACCACACCTGGCTAATTTTTATATTTTTTAGTACAGACGAGGTTTCACTGTGTTGCCCAGACTGGTCTCGAACTCCTGACCTCAGGTGATCCCACCCGCCTTGGCCTCCCAAAGTGCTGGGATTACAGGTGGGGAGCCACTGCACTGGTCCTGTATTAACTTTTGATAGACATTCAACCTACAAATAGGAAAGTGTATCTATATAAATGTACAGCTCAAAATTGTCCTAAACCAAACACATTTATGATTTGTAATCAGGTTCCTGAACTCATCAAGAAAATGATATTTCTCCTTCCCCCCACCACCCTCATAGTCACTCTGATTCTCCCCTGGTCTCGAACTTTCCCATGGTTAAGCACCAGCCCTTCGATTTCACCATAAATTAGTACAGGCACAGTGGCTCACATCTCTAATCCCAGCACTTTGGGAGGCTGAAGCAGGAGATCACTTGAGGCCAGAAAGCAAAGATCAACCTGGGCAACACAGGGAGACCTCCTAAACATAAACATATGTTTATCTCAAATAACAAAATAAATTAATCAGTACTGCCCACTGTGAACTCCGTGTACACTAAATCACCATAATGACAGGCCTTTTGTCCTCAAATATAAAGCTTGTAAGATTCATCTGTGTTGTTAAAAGTTTTTAGGTTGAGGTCATAACACATTGGTGGTATGGCTACACTGAGTAAAGATTTTAGGCTTTGTGGACCAGGCAGTCCCTATTGTTACTCACCTTCCTAGAACACGGGCAGCCATAGATTATATGTAAGGGGAGGGTGTGGTCGTGTGTACCAATAAAACTTTATGTATAAAATAAGTGGTGGGCTGTGTATGAATCAGGCTTTCTCAAAGAGAAATAAATGCGGTGTTTGTGTGAGATAGAGATGAGAGTGACTTTAATGAATTGTTGGGCATGGTGGCTCACGCCTATAATCCCAGCACTTTGGGAGGCTGAGGCAGGAGGATCTCTTGAGCCTAAGAGTTTGAGACCAGACTGGCTAACATGGTATCCCATCTCTACAAAACAGATAGATAGATAGATAGATAGATAGATAGATAGATAGATAGATAGATAGATAGATAAAATAAAATAAAATAAAATAAAATAAAATAAATTTGCCAGTTATGGTTGTACACACCTGTAGTCCCAGCTAGTTGGGAAGCTGAGGCAGAGTTGAACCCAGAAGCTCAAGGCTGCAGTGAGCTGTGATCACTGCACTCGAGCCTGGGAGACAGCATGAGATCCCATCTCAAAAAAAAAAAAAAAAAAGAAAGCAAGAAAAGAAAAAGTAAACAAAATTGGTTCACTTGATTTGGGGGCCAGCCAGTCCAAAATTTATAGAACAGGGTAGCAGCTAGACATTAAGGTAAGAGTCAGTGTTGCAGGCTGGGCACAGTGGCTCACGCCTGCAATCCCAGCACTTCGGGAGGCTGAGGCGGGCAGATCACCTGAGGTCAGGAGTTCAACACCAGCCTGGCCAACATGGCAAAACCCCGTCTCTACTAAAAATAGAAAAATTAACTGGGTGGCTGAGGCACAAGAATCGTTTGAACCGGGGAGGTGGAGGTTGCAGTGAGCCGAGATTGCACCACTGAACTCCACCCTGGGCAACAGAGTAGGTCCCTGTCCCCCCCCCCCCAAAAAAAAAAAAAAAAAAAAAAAAAAAAAAAAGAGAGTCAGTGTTGCAGCCTTGGGTCCAAAAACTGTAGGGCATTCCCTGCAGGCTGGAAACGATGACCTTTTTTTTTTTTTTTTTTTTGATGGAGTCTTGCTCTATCGCCCAGGCTGGAGTGCAGTGGCACGATCTCTGCTCACTGCAAGCTCCGCCTCCCGGGCTCAAGTGATTCTCCAGCTCAGCCTCCCGAGTAGCTGAGACTACAGGCACCCACCGCCACGCCTGGCTAATTGTTTTGTATTTTAGTAGAGACGGGGTTTCACTGTGTTGCCCAGGCTGGTCTCAAACTCCTGAGCTCAGGCAATCGCCCGCCTCGGCCTCCCAAAGTGCTGGGATTACTCTGTGAGCCACCATGCCTGGGAAAACGAGGATTTTTATGTTCCGGTCTTGAGGCAGAATTCCTTCTTCTCTGGGAAACCCTGAATGTTGCTCTTACATCCTTCAACTGATTGGACGAGGCCCACCCACATTACAGAGGGTCATTTCCTTCACTTAAAGGCAACTGACTCTAGACATTTACCACATCTGCAGAATACCTTCAGAGCAACATGCAGATACCTGTTGGAGCAAACAACCAGTTAGTATGGTCTCTCCCCGAAGCCCCATGCAATCAACCATCACAGACTGGATCTGATCCCGGGCCGTGGTTTGACAGTTCCAGTGTTCACGTGCTCTTTGGCTTACGATGGGACCATGTCCTGATAAACTCATCATATGTTAAAAATATCATAAGTCGGCCGGGCATGGTGGCTCATGCCTGTAATCCCAGCACTTTGGGAGACTGAGACGGGTAGATTACCTGAGCTCGGGAGTTCGAGACCACCCCAGGCAACATAGTGAAACCCTGCCTCTCCTAAAATACAAAAAATTAGCCAGGCGTGGTGGTGTGCACCTATAGTCCCAGTTACTCAGGAGGCTGAACCGGGAGAATCTCTTGAACCTGGGAGACAGAGGTTACAGTGAGTCGAGATTGTGCCACTGCACTCTAGCCGGGGCAACAGAGTGAGACTCCATCTCAAAAAAAAAAAAAAAAACGTAACTCAAAAATGCATTTAAGCCAGGTGCAGTGGCTCATACCTATAATCCCAGCATTTTGGGATGCTGAGGTGGGAGGGTCACTTGAGGCCAGGAGTTCATGAGCAGCCTGAATAACATAATAAAATCCCATCTTGGCTGGGCACAGTGGCTCATGTCTGTAATTGCAGCACTTTGGGGGGCCGAGGCGGGCGGATCACCTGAGGTCAGGAGTTTGAGACCAGCCTGGCCAACGTGGTGAAACCCCGTCTCTACTAAAAATACAAAAATTAGCCAGGCGTGGTGGTGCACACCTGTAATCCAGGTTACTCAGGAGGCTGAAGCAGGATAATCACTTGAACCCCAGAGGCAGAGGCTGCAGTGAGCCAGGATCGCCCTGCTTCACTCCAGCCTGGGCGACAGAGCAAGACTCTATTTTTTTTTTTTTTGAGATGGAGTCTCTCTCTGTCGCCCTGCCTGGAGTGCAGTGGCCAGATCTCAGCTCACTGCAAGCTCCGCCTCCCGGGTTCACGTCATTCTCCTGCCTCAGCCTCCCGAGTAGCTGGGACTACAGGCGCCCGCCACCTCGCCCGGCTAGTTTTTTTGTATTTTTTAGTAGAGACGGGGTTTCACCGTGTTAGCCAGGATGGTCTCGATCTCCTAACCTTGTGATCCGCCCGTCTCGGCCTCCCAAAGTGCTGGGATTACAGGCTTGAGCCACCCTGCCTGGCCTTCTATTTTTAAAGAAACGAAAAAGAAAAAACATATGTTGGAATCATCGGTTTTCGTTTCCTGGGCCTTCCTTGACAAAGTAGCACAGCAGGAGGGGCTCAAACTACAGAAATGTATTTCCTGACGGTTCTGGGGGCTGGAAGTTCAAATTCAGCGTTGATTCCTTCTGAGGGCTGGCAGGGAGAGTCTGTCCCACCCTTCTCTGTTCTTAACCTGTAAGATGACGCCTTCATGTACACGCGACGGTTTCTCTAAGTGCATGTCTGTGTCCAAATTTTCCCTCTTTTTATAAGGACACCAGTCAGGCTGGATTAGGATCTGGACTAATGGCCTCATTTTATTTTGATTCCCTCTGTAAAGACCCTGCCTCCTAATAAAGTCACCTTCTGAGGTCCTGGGGGTTAGGACTTCAACATATGAATTTGGGGGGCAGCACAATTCAGTGTTTAATCACCCTGTTGTCCATGTCAGTTTTGTTTTTTGTTTTTTGTTTGTTGTTTGTTTTTTTTCATTGCTGTTTCCACCCATTCTAGTGTGGATGTTCATTTCAATTAGTTCCAGTTCTGGGCTCTTACAAATAAAACTGCTATGAACATTTCCATGCATGTCTTTCAGTACATAGATGTGCCCTTCCTTCCTTCCTTCCTTCCTTCCTTCCTTCCTCTCTCTCCTTCTTTCCTTCCTTTCTCTCTCTCTCTCCTTCCTTCCTTCCTTTCTCTCTCTCTCTCCTTCCTTCCTTTCTCTCTCTCTCCTTCCTTCCTTTTCCTTCCTTCTTTCCTTCCTTCCTTCCTCTCTCTCCTTCCTTCTTTCCTTCCTTCCTTTCTCTCTCTCTCCTTCCTTCCTCTCTCTCTCTTTCCTTCCTTCCTTTTTTCTTTCTCTCTCTCTTTCCTTCTTTCCTTTCTTTCTTTCTCTCCTTTCTTTCTTTCCTTTCTTTCTTTTCTCTCCTTTTCTTTTCTTTTTCCTTCCTTCCTTCCTTCCTTCCTTCCTTCCTTCCTTCCTTCCTTCCCTCTCTCTGTCTCTGTCTTCTTTTTTGAAATAGGGTCTTGCTCTGTTGCCCAGGCTGGGGTACACTGGTATGACCATGGTTCATTGTAGCCTCAAACCTGGGGGTTCAAGTTATCCTCCCTCCTCAGCCTCCCCTCAGCCTCCCGAGTAGCTGAGACCACAGGCATGTGCCACCGTGCCCAGCTGAGACCACAGGCATGTGCCACCATGCCTGGCTAATTTTTTTCTTTTTTTTTTGTAGAGCTGGGGTCTCACTCGCTATGTTGCCCAGGCTGGTCTGGAACCCCTGGTCTCAAGCAATCCTCCCTCTGGCCTCAGCCTCCCAAAGTGCTGGGATGATAGGCGTGAGCCACTGCACCCAGCCAAATGTCCCCTTTTCATTAGGACACTGGCTTTTGGACTAGGGTCCCACCCTACTCGGCGATGATGTCATCTTAACTAACTCCATCTGCAAAGACATTATTTCCAAATAAGGTCACCTTCTGAGGTCCTGGATGTTAGGACTTCACCATATGAATTTAGGGAGGCGCAGTCCAACTCACAACCACCCTGTTGTCAATGTAGGGGGTTCTTTTTACTTTTTCTTTTTTTGTTTTTTTTGAGACGGATTCTCGCTCTGTCGCCCAGGCTGGAGTGCAGTGGCCGGATCTCAGCTCACTGCAATCTCTGCCTCCCCGGTTCAAGCCATTCTCCTGCCTCAGCCTCCTGAGTAGCTGGGATTACAGGTGCCCGCCACCACGCCTGGCTAATTTTTGTATTTTTAGTAAGACAGAGCTTCTCCATGTTGAAGCCGTGGTCTCGGGAACTCCTCACATGTTATCCACCCACCCTCAAGCCTCCGTTACCTGCTGGGATGACAGGCATGAGCCCAGCCAGGAGTTCTTTTTCATTATTATCCGTTCTCGTGCAGATTTCATTAAGTTGGTACAATCTGGGGCTTTTATGAATGGAGAGTGGCTATAGACATTTTCTGCCCATATCTTTGCTATATAGATGTGCCCTTCCTTTTTTTCTCTTTTTTTGGGGCAGGGTCTCGATCCTGTGCCCGAACTAGAGTGCAGTGGCTCAGTCACAGTATTGTAAGCTTCAACTTCCCAGGCTCAAGCAATCCTCCCACTGGCCTCCTGGGTAGCTGGGAGTACAAACACTTGCCATGCATGGCCAGTTTCCTTCTTCTCCTCCCTCCCCTCCCTCCCTCCCTCCCCTCCCCCTCCCTCCCTTCCCTCTCCACCCCCTCCCTTCCCCTCACCCCTCCCTTCCCTCCTCCCTCTACCACTTTCTTCTTCCCTTCAGCCTTCTCTTTTTCTTGTTTTGGAGCAGGTGTCTGTGACCTCCCTTTCCTTTCCCTTCCCTTCCCTTCCCTTCTCTTTTCTTGTTTTAGACATGGGGTATCTCTATGTTACCCAGGCTGGTCTCGAACTCCTGGGCTCAAGTGATCCTCCAGCTCTGGCCTCCCAACGTGCTGGGGTTACAGGCGTGAGCCACTGCACCCAGCCCAAGCATTGTCGATAGGGATACATACAACATAGGTGAAGTTCCTGCACACAGTAGGACCACAGAGACGCTATCATCATTTGTGACTGGCGCAGGGAATCAGGCAATGAATTGCCCATCAGAGAAGGCAAGGAATAGAACAGAGGGAAGAGAGAGAGATTAAAGGTTAAAAGCCCTGGGCGCCGTGACTTACGTCTGTAATCCCAGCACTTTGGGAGGCCGAGGCAGGCAGATCACCTGAGGTCAGGAGTTGAAGACCAGCCTGGCCAATATGGTGAAACCCTGTCTCTATTAAAAATACAACAATTAGCTGGGCGTGGTGGCAGGTGCCTGTAGTCCCGGCTACTCGGGAGGCTGAGGCAGGACAATCGCTTGAACCCAGGAGGTGGAGGCTGCAGTGAGCCAAGATTGTACCACTGCACTCCAGCCTGGCTGACAGAATGAGACTCCATCTCAAAAAAAAAAAAAAAAAAAGGCTGGAGGGAGCTGTGTGTTGCCTGGCAGGTGCGTGGGGGGCAGACATCCCTCCTACCCACCTGTTTCCCCGCAGTTCTGTGCCAGTGGGGTCAGCGGGGACATCAGGAGAAGGAGCTGCTGGTGGGTTCAGTTGCTTTCGGCGTGCTGGGGACAGGTGGCTGCAGGGAGAGTGAGTGAACTGTGAGGTGGACCAATACGAGGGCCACCTTGTGGGGTAGTCTGGGGGGTATCTGGGTTCAGGGAGCCTCCACAGCCCCGTCCAGGGGACAGCAGGCAGCCAGGCCCAGAGCTGGGGGTTTGGGGAATCCAGCTACTCTCTCATCCAGTCCCAGCTACTGCCGCTGGCCAAGGCCGTGACCTTTCTCCCAGATCCTGGAGCTGAGTAACAGTTACTGGAAAAATAAGTCGGCCATCTGGGGGTGGCCACAGCCCCATCCTGTTGGGTCCCCAGCCTGGCTGCTAGAAGTGAGGGTGCCAGGGCTGGGCTGTCTGTCCTATACAGCAGTACCATAGCCACCGATGTGACCAGGCCAGGTACCTCCTCCCCGTCACAATCTATCCCCGCCATGCCGTACTTCCCCCAGTGCAGGAGCCTGAAGTGACAACCCCACTCCCATACCCGGACACCCAGGAAAGCCTGACGGGTGGGTGGAGAAACAGTCCTGGGCATCCCTAGCAGCCCTGAATGTTTCCTCTGGCCCTGGTCTCAGAGACGCCCATGTCTGGGAAAAGCAAGTCAGCAACTCGGCCCAAAAGGAGCCTTTGACAGTGACAAGGGCTGCATTTGAATTTTAGCTCTGTCACATTTTTTTTTTTTTTTTTTTTTGCAGGGTGACTCTGAGCGGGTCACTCCTTTTCTCTGAGCCTCAGTTTCCCCCTCTGGAAAAATGGGAATAATGGAGCACCCTCCTGGCCGGTTTCGCGATGCTCAAATGCAATACGGTTGTGCTAAGCGCAGAGCGTGGTCCTGAGGGGGCAGTCATTATACATGAACGGTTCAGCCCTCAGTTGCCAAAGTATGTTCAAGGCACCCGCTGCGGGTCCAGCTCTGTCCTAGACACAGGAGATCCAGCAGCAAACAAAAGTGACACAGACACCTGTCCTTCTCAAGGGGTTGGGACTCCAGGGAGAGACGCAAACCGTGAATTAAAATGTTAATGTCCAAGAAGGATGAATGCTACAGAGAAATGAAACTATCATTAGATCTTATTATTGTTGTGACTGTTACTGTTGACGCCAAGTTGATCGTGATTATAGCCCCGATTCCAGCTTCCACAGGTATCAGGGGCATGCAATTATTTAGCGCTAACTGCGTACCAGACACCAAACACCTATAGCCCCACAAATTCGTTTCCCAGAAGAGAAACCAAAGTCTCAGGTCTGTCCAAGGTTGTGAGCCAGTTGTGTAGGGCAAGCCTGGAAGTGGATCTGCCAGATGGCATGATTCCCAGACCTGCCCCCACCTCCCAGGGAGAGCTGGCATCCTCCCAGCTGGACCTGACCCCCCTTGGAGCTTCCCCAACCTGGGGATACAACAGGGCCCCCACGGGGAGAGAGGCAGCCAGGGCAGGCAGTGGGACAGAGCGAGGAGGGAGCAGAGTGTCTGCCACCCGCCCCCACGGCTGCCTGGGAAACGCCAGGGCCTAATCCTGGCTCAAGAGGACACGTTGTACCAGAGATTATATAAACCGACCTCTCCCTTTGTTTGTTTAATTCTTTCAGGCTTTTCCACTCATCCTTCTCTCTTTAATCGCTCTGCCAGTGGGGCCAGGGGTGGGGTGCTCCGGGCTAGGCCTCCTCCAGGAGGGAGGGGACTGCAGACCCAGCACCCCCCACTCTGGCCACACCCCTACCTGGTTTCCCAGCCACCCTCCCCCTGCTTCTCCCCCCACCAGACACACCAAGTCCTGCCAGTGGCAGGGGCATGGGGCTGGACAGGCTTGGCCAGTGGAGTGAGTCTGAGAGGCCAAGGCCAAGGGCACTGAGTCAGGCTCAGACTCTGCTGGGCCCCTGGGATGTGGCTTCTCCACTCAGCACTCAGCTTCCTCTTCCAAAAAAATGGGATCCCTGTGGTCCCAACCCCCAGGTTGTTGAGAACACGCCCATGCGAGGAGTGAGCGTGGCCCATGGTGGATGCCGCGTGAGAGCTGCTGCCTGTCCCCAGCCCACACTGCAGACACCCGGGCAACAGTTTCGCCCTCAGACTGGTCCTGGAGCACCATGACTGGTGGCCAATCGGGCCTCCCAGATGTCCATAATACCCAGTGGGTGCTCTGATGTGGAAGGCTGGGCACCATCACCCAGACAGGGCAACCAGGGGTGTCTGGCTCTGTGCCCACCCACCACTGACTCCGAGCCAGGCCCTGGCCCTCACCAAGATCCAGTATTTCCGTCTGTGTCCTGGAGAGGCCAACACAAACCTCCCACCATCAGGGCAGTCCACCCACAGAGGGGCCTGGGTTCCCCTCCGGACCCCTCCTTTACCACCTCTGCCACCTGTGCTGCTTGGTTGCTCTGTGCCTCAGTTTCCCCATCTGTAAAGTGGAGATCATCATAGCAGTCAGACCTCCCAAGAGAATTAATCATGTTAATCCTTATAATGTATTTATTCTTAATTTATATTACTTTATTTTTTTGTAGAGATGGGGTTTTCCCATGTTGCCCAAGCTGGTCTTGAACTCCTGGGTTCACGTGATCCACCTGCCTCAGCCTCTCAAAGTGCTGGGGTTACAGGCATGAGCCACTGCACCTGGCTATGCATTTTAGAACAGGCCCTGACATACATTAACAGGAAAGTATCTGCTGGGCCGGGCGCGGTGGCTCACGCCTGTAATCCCACCACTTCAGGAGGCCGAGGCAGGTGGATCACCTAAGGTCAGGAGTTCGAGACCAGCCTAACCAATATGGTGAAACCCCATCTCTACTAAAAATACAAAAATTAGCTGGGCATGGTGGTGTGAACCTGTAGTCCCAGCTACTCGGGAGGCTGAGACAGAAGAATTGCTTGAACCCAGGAGGAGGAGTGAGCTGAGATCACACCACTACACTCCAACCTGGGCGACGAAGTGAGACTCAGTCTAAAAAAGAAAAAAATAATAAAAATTAGGCCGGGCGCAGTGGCTCACGCCTGTAATCCCAGCACTTTGGGAGGCTAAGGCGGGCGGATCACGAGGTCAGGAGATGGAGACCATCCTGGCTAACACGGTGAAACCCTGTCTCTACTAAAGATACAAAAAAACTAGCCGGGCGAGGTGGCGGCGCCTGTAGTCCCAGCTACTCAGGAGGCTGAGGCAGGAGAATGGCGTGAACCCAGGAGGCGGAGCTTGCAGTGAGCCGAGATCACGCCACTGCACTCCAGCCTGGACGACAGAGCAAGATTGTGTCTCAAAAAAAAATAAATTAATTAATTAAAAATTAAAAAAAAAATAAGAAAGAAACCAGGCCCATTGCACACATGGGAAATGGATGTCGATGTTCCCAAAGCAAGTCAGAGGCAGGGTTGGGAGCTGAGAAACCAGGCTGGGAACCTCCCACCCAGCACCCCCATGGAGCCCAGTGGAGGGAGGCTGGGGGCGGGGGACAGAGAACTGAGGTCACGGTGCCAGGTCCCCAGGGGCCCAGACTCACGTTCCTGCCTGACGGCCGCAAGCTCCCAAACATCCCACTCCGAGCCTCTGCTTCCCTTCTCTGTAAGACAAGCCCCGGGGTGGCACAGGGTGGGTGGGGTGCCGGGGTGTCCGGCCACTCCCAGCCCTTTACATAACCTGCGGCACGGCAGGAAATCAAAGTGCCAACAACTGCCTCCTCAGTAACCGACGGGCTCCCTCTGTAACAGACTTCCTGTCTTTACCCACCCACCTTGGGTACCAGCTGCCTGCCCCCTACCTCCAGTGGCAGAGGCATCCCATCCCTGATCCCAGGGCTTCCTCCCCAAGGAAGGGCCCCCGTACCCTAGGCTGCTCCACCATCCCACCCTGAGTGTCCACCAGCTCTGGCCTCAGTTCCCCCATCCAGATATGTCCCTGGGCTGCCAGGACCATCACCCTGCTTCTTTCGGCCATTGGCTGGGAGACTGTGTACTGGCTGCCCCCAAACTGAGGCTGGAGGTCAGAGGGCAAAGGGCAAAGGCCAAGGAATTCCTTTTTTTTTTTTTTTTTTTTTTCTGAGACAGAGTCTCACTCTGTTGTCCAGGCTGGAGTGCAGTGGCACTATCTTGGCTCACTGCAACCTCCGCCTCCCAAGTTCAAGCAATTCTCCTGCCTCAGCCTTCCTAATAGCTGGGATTACAGGCATGCGCCACCACGCCTGGCTAATTTTTTTTTTTTTTTTTTTTTTGTATTTTTAGTAGAGACGGGGTTTCACCATGTTGGCCAGGCTGTTCTTGAACTCCTGACCTCAACTGATTTGCCTGCCTCAGCCTCCCAAAGTGTTAGGATTACAGGTGTGAGCCACCACGCCTGGCTAGAATTCCCTTTTCTAATTAATTTATTTTATTAATTAATTTATTTATTTTGAGACAGGGTATCACTCTGTTACCCAGGCTGAAGTGCAGTGGTGCCATCTTGGGTCACTGCAACCTCTGCCCCCCAGGTTCAAGCAATTCTCCTGACTCAGCCTCCTGAGTAGCTGGGATTACAGGTGTGCATCACCACGCCCGGCTAACTTTTGTATATTTAGTAGAGACGGGGTTTCACCATGTTGGCCAGGCTGGTCTCGAACTCCTGGCCTCAGGTTATCCACCCGCTTTGGCCTCCCAAAGTGCTGGGATTACAAGCACCAGCCACCACACCCAGCCAGAATTCCATTTTTAGAGCGAGAAAAGCAGGAGTTGCCTCTCATCTTGAGGGAGGGAGACTCTGGTTCTTCAGGACTTTTCAAAGCTGTGGGTAGGGGGTGGAGGGTGTCCCCGCAATGGTGCAAAGAGGAGACCCCAGTTCTGCCCTGGAAGGGAGTGTGGGCCTGTGGGGAAGGTCTCTGGGGCAAACTTAGTGACAGTCACAGTCATATGACTGTCCCCATTTTATAGATAGGGAAACTGAGGCATTAAGCAAGGCCGCCATCTGCCCAAGGTCCCATGGTCTGTAAGTGGCAGAGCCGAGATTTGAACCTCTGAAGACATGACTGCCGGGATGTGGGTGGAGGGGTCAGGCAATGGGCCCTCTGTGGGCTCTGCAGGACTGGAAATCACAACATGTCTGCACAGACGTGGGCGACTCGCTTCCGTGCCGTGACCCCTGCCAGGCATGTTAGTGGCTCCTCTTGGACAGATGGAGAAACTGAGGCTCAGAAAACAGGAGCAGCTTGGGCAAGTTCATTCATGGGATACGGTGAGAGAGGCTGGGCCGGGGAAATACCCTCAGCCGGGAGGACTCCAGAACCTGTAGGCAGCATCGCCACCCTTCATATCGCCCACCTTGTGAGGGCCTAGCACCCCAGGCCTCAGTTTCTCCATCTGTGGAGGGATAGATGCTGGAAGGCTGTGACTGCGACCTCAGAGGCTGGCTCCCTGGGGCTCCGCCAGGCCGGGCATGAGGGCCTGGAGTGTGAGGGCAGGCTCTGGAGAGCCGGGTGATGCTTGTGCCCACACCCACAGTGCCAGGCCCACGGGGCAGAGGGGCTGGGGTAGACTCTTCTGCCATGCTCTGTGGTCTCCTTCCCCTACTGGGCAGGGCCAAGCTTGGTTCCACGTCTTCATCCAAAGCTGCATAGCACACCAGCGGGAAAACCAGGACCAGCTCAGCCAGCCTCCAAAGTCCAGCTCTTTCCACAGTATCCAGAGGGTTTCAGAGAACTCAGGGCACCAGCTTCCCGGCCTGGAGCCCCAAGGCCCATGGGCAAAGGGCTGAGCCTCAGTTTCCCTGTCTACTCCACAGGGGCCATCATCCACCTGCTCATTGCTCTGTGTCTTTTTTTTTTTTTTTTTGAGACAGAGTCTTGCTCTGTCACCCAGGCTGGAGTGCAGTGGCGTGATCTCAGCTCGCTGCAACCTCCCCCTCCCAGGTTCAAGCGACTCTCCTGCCTCAGCCCCCCAGGTAGCTGGGATTACAGGCACCCACCACCACGCCCGGCTAATTTTTGTATTTTTAATAGAGACAGAGTTTCGCCATGTTGGCCAGGCTGGTCTCAAACTCCTGACCTCGGGTGATCTTCCCGCCTTGGCCTCCCAAAGTGCTTCACTTTTAAGAACATGTAACGTGTCCAGTGAGGGAGAAACACTGGGTAGCTGTCCTGCCCCATGGATCGCCAAACCCAGGAAGTGTGACCAGCTGTCTATGCCTCATCCCTCTTTCTGCTGGGCTTCTCCTCCCTACCTGTGCGGAAGATTGAAAGGGAGGGTTCTAGGGGTGAGCCCAAACAGACCCTGAACCACATCCTGAGCAAGCCCCACCTCCTGGGAGGGCTGCAGGAGGGGTTGGGGGCTTGAATCAGCAGAAACAGAAGCAGCAGCCTCCACACTTGGGATGTGAGTCCCACCACGGTGCCCTGCACGGCCTGGGTGCGAGTGTGAGGGGACCTAGAAGCCTGCGTGTTGCATGTGGCCATGGATCCCTGGGACAGACCCCTGCCTTTCTCAGCCTCAGTTTCCCTATCTGTAAAATGGGACAGGCCAGGCACGGTGGCTCATGCCTGTAATCCCAGCACTTTGGGAGGCCGAGGCGGGCGGATCACGAGGTCAGGAGATCGAGACCATCCTGGCTAACGTGGTGCAACCTCATCTCTACTAAAAATACAAAAAATTAGCCAGGTGTGGTGGCGGGCACCTGTAGTCCCACTTGCTGGGGAGGCTGAGGCAGGAGAATGGCGTGAACCCGGGAGGTGGAGCTTGCAGAGAGCCGAGATTGCGCCACTCACTCCAGCCTGGGCGACAGGGTGAGACTCCGTCTCAAAAAAAAAAAAAAAAAAACAAAGAACACTGTCTTTGGGGGCTGTGTGTGAAGAGGTGGCAAGGATAATCAATCCAGGCGAGCCATGGGGGGCTGAACCAAGGAGGCTATCCCTGCATCCAATCCAGACGCACTGATCAGGCGCCTACCATGCCCTCTTGTCGAACCCAGGGCAACCTGGAGAGGTGGGTACAGGGGTTGCCAGGCAGAGGACAGAGAGCCCAGGGGCAGGACAGAGACACTGAAGTAGAGGGAGCCTCAGTTGGCCTTGGACTCAATGTGCGACTGTGAGCTGGTGCCTCAGTTTACATATCTGTAAAATGGGGTGAGAAGTGGCTATGTCAGGAGTCATAAGATTGGACTCATCTGTGAAAGTGCCTGGCACATGGTAGGTGCACAATAAACCTGTCATTGTCCTCATCTCCCAACACTGTAACGAGGATATTTATTTATTTATTTATTTATTTATTTATTTATTTATTTCAAAACAAGAGTCTCACTCTGTCACCCAGGCTGGAGTGCAGTGGCATGATCTTGGGTCACTGTAATCTCTGCCTCCTGGGTTCAAGCTATTTTCCTGCCTCAGCCTCCCAAGTAGCTGGTACGACAGGAACCCGCCACTGCACCCAGCTAATTTTTGTATTTTTAGTAGAGACGGGGTTTCACCTTGTTGGCCAGGTTGGTATCGAACTCCTGACCTCAGGTGATCCACCCGCCTTGGCCTCCCAAAGTGCTAGGATTACCGGCATGGTCACCGCACCGGGCCATGAGGTTAAATGAAGCCTGCCCTATACTCAGGACACTGAGGTGGGAGGATCACTTGAGCCCATGAATTTGAGGCTGTAGGAAGCTATGATCGCATCACTGCACTCCAGCCCAGGTGACAGAGCAAAATCCTGTCTGTACAAAAATTAAAAAATTAGTTAGGCGGGTGGTGCATTCCTGCACTCCTAGCTCCTTGGGAGGCTGAGTCGGGAGGATGTCTTGAACCCAGGAGTTCAAGGCTGAAGTGAGCCATGATTGCACCACTGCACTCCAGCCAGGGCAAGAGAGTGAAACCCTGTCTCTAAAACAGGCCAGGCTCGGTGGCTCACACCTGTAATTCCAGCACTTTGGGAGGCCGAGGCGGGCAGATCACCTGAGGTCAGGAGTTCAAGACAGCCTGGCCAACATGGCAAAACCTCATCTCTACTAAAAAGACAAAAATTAGCCTGTAATCCCAGCTACTCAGGAGGCTGAGGTAGGAGGATTGTTTGAACCCAGGAGGCAGAGGTTGCAGCAAGCCGAGATCATGCCACTGCACTCCACCCTGGGCGACAGAGTGAGACTCTGTCTCAAATAAATAAATAAATAAATAAATATTAAAATTAAAACATTTAAAAAATGTAATAAAAAGCCAGCCCTCTAAAGGACTGGCCCATTGTAGCAAGTGAATAAATGTATGTTGAGTAAATAACAAAAATAATGACGCAGCTCCTTCCATGGGCATGATGTCTTCCCGTTTCCAAAGCTGCTAGCTTTCTGCAGCTGGGTTCTCAGCACTGTGGACATCTGAGCCAGATCGGCATGGCATGTGTGTGCTGGGGAATGTGCTGTGCATGGCGGGAGGTTGCGTAACATCCCTGCCTCCACCTACTGCATGCTAGCAGCAACTCCCCCCGCCCACCCACACGCCCCTGTCCCAGTCATAACAACCAAATATGTCCCCAGACATTACCAAGTGTCCCCTGGGGGGCAGAATTACCCCGCTGAGAATCACTGCCCAGCGTGGTGGTGACTGTTCAAAGTTCTCGTTTAGCAGAACAGAATAAAGGCTCAGAGAGGGGCAGGTCTAGTGCA